CCAAAAATAAAATTTGTAGAATCATTCACCATAATACCATGACAATGTTCTCTTCTGGGTTTATCTGACAGTTAATATGGTTTATTATTTGCAGTTAACTTGGCGGTTTGATCATTGCTTGCCCAAAACAAGAAATCTTAATTCGTTATATAGACTAGTGGTGTTTTGTAATTTACTTTTTTATTTTTTTTAATCTCTTGTTATTAGGTGGATATACAAGAGTGAGATATAAGACTTGGTATTGAAAAAAAAAAATTGTTGTGGGTTCTAAATTTAACGGTAATATAATAAGATTCGCACCTTTTTTTTTTTCTCCAGAAAATACTATTCTTCCAAAAATAAAATTTGTAGAATCATTCACCATAATACCATGACAATGTTTTTTTTTTGTAAATAAAAGCACGTCGATGAGATTTTTTATTTTAAAGCCCACAATTTAACATTTTATTCTATATATAAAGGGCAATTTTGTCTTTGCATGGAATATTTTCATCTATTTGTAATTATTTTGCATCATTCCATCACTAGTATAATTACTTTTTATTCTCACTGATTTACAATTATTTTTGTACTTTACTTTTTATTTTGTAATTTTCCTGAAAAATAGTGATGTGAAGAAAATAAAAGTATGTCCTGCTTTCGTAGCTTCATATCATTCCTTCAGAATTTTTCATTACAACGTTAATTGAAGTACCATGGAAAAGGTTTTCCTTCTTTCTTTTTCTTCTCCTTTTCCCAAACCAATTCCAAGTTCCAAACAGTATGTACATAATTTTCCAGCTTTTTACTCTGTTTTAAAAAAAAAAGACAAAAAAAAGCTCTTGATGATGGTAAGCCAACATTTCCTTCTGCTTTAACATAATCAATCAGGAAATGCCTAGAGTGTAATCTTTTGAATGGTTTGTAGAAGTGAATCACATCCATAGCTTTCAAACCGTGGCAATCAACAAACCCCGGCTACCTCCTTGTGATCGCAAATTTGAAGGCACTACTTTCCTCAGCATTGTAGGCGAGTGTCAGAAAATACAATCTGGTTCTCATAATTCGATACACAATTCGTTGAAGAGAAATGTAATTCTACGGTTTGGAAAGGAATGAAGAGCCTACAGCGTTCAACATCGCTCTAAGTTAACTACATCTGAAACAGATGATGTACCGACCTATGGAAGTCAACAACTGTGACTATGTTAGGCATTGGGTACTCATGTATTTGGTTGATAGAAGCTCTGTATTGTAGCCCCTGGTTGGGCCTCTCGGATGAGCATGACACTCCTCTGCAAAGAGAGAATATGTATAATATTTCATCTAATTATACAATTCCAAGTTTTGTTCTTCAAGATCTTGCTCGTTCAAGAAACTAATTTATTATTAAAATTTTATCATTCCAATGGGTCTGTAAACTAAGCAAAGATCACAAAGATGACAACCCCAGATCTCTGTTTGGTGGCAGAGAAAAGGGAAGAATTGGAAGGGAAAAAGCAAAAACCCTCAATGTTGTTTGAATTTTGTATGTTCTTGTTCATTGCAAGTGAGTAAATTTATCAGTATATGTGGATATATAAGCATGCATTGGCATACGGAGACAGAGAAGAGATTCAATACATTTGAGAAAACCCTAAGACTGATCAGTACCTTGGTGAAGAACAAGTAGTTACCGGGGTTTTGATTGTGAGATAACATCTTCGTCATGGTGAATTTGTTAGAAACTACTGCAGCAACAGCAACAACAACAGCATCATAAGAGTGCTGCATGTGTGGAGATTTTGGTCTCTCTCATGAACTCTTCAACTGCAAAGTCTGCCTATTTAGATCTCAGCACTGGTACTGTAGCAATCTGTATCCAAAAGCTGAGTCATACCAAGTCTGCAATTGGTGCCTGAGTCAAAGGTATGACACAACAAAGAAAACAAACTCTTCCAATTCAACATCATCTGGTAGGAACAACTGCAACGAAGATGATCAACTGATCATCAACAACAGCAAGATCAAGATCAAGATCAAGAAGAATAATTTGTGGCAGCGGATTGAAGGTATGTGTAGAGGTCCGGCAGGCGGCCAAGGCGAGACTGCCGCCCGCCGGTGACACAGAATGACTAGGTTGTTAACCTAGCTCTGATACCATGTAAGATTTATGTATAAAGAAAGAGAAAGAATTGTGTATTGAATATGTATTGAATGTTATTATTACAAATGGTGAGCGGCTCCTTATATAGGAGAAGATTACAAACAATGCACCCAAAAGCAACCGAAAGCAAAGACATCATGATTACAGCTTGGACACTTTACAGCTAATAACACTATGCACTAATATATATTACATATAATATACTAACACCAATGATGTTTGGTGATACATCCTTATTATTATTATTATCATTATTTTAAGTTATGTAAGTACATAATTACTTGTTACTGGGCAAAGATTGAATATTGCTTGGAACAAATAGATAGGTATTAAAAAATATATTCTTCATGCGTTGTTATTTTAAACTGATAGGTCCAAACATAAATCGGAAAATAAATATTGAAATAAAAAAAAATAAATAAAAACTCAATTATTTTATTTCCCAGAAACATTTCTCCTCCTTTTGCAGAGTTGCTTTAAGCATATAAACGAAAATTATCACAGACTAACTTCTTTTTGTACATTATTTTTGTGGAACTTTATGCTTCTCTTGGTGGTATAATTGAAATTTGTCCTTCAAAGAAAGGCGGAGTTTGATTAGAGGTTGCACATCTCATAATTTTCGCTAAAACACTGAGGAGTTGTGTATAAAATTGATGAAATTTTGTTCAATAATAACCCTGATGATTCATCATTTTTCCGATAAACAACAAAAGGGTGTTCCATTTCATTTCCATAAAACTGTTCCATGAGAGAGAGAGAGATGATTCATCATTTTTCAATCCACAGCATGGAGACACTTGGTATGAGAGAGAGAGAGAGAGAGGCTTTGTAGTTCAGAGGCGGTATTACATATATAGAGTTGCTGGTGGCAATGAATGTGTAGGTTTGGGAGGGAGAGAATAGGGAAAGGAATGTCACTTTGTCAGTTTGATCATGCTTCCCGCCAAACAATAAATCATTACAAGCAGAGATAAATCACGGTAAATTCTACAACACCATGTATATGTATACCAGACCAATGATGTTTGGTGATACATCCTTATTATTATTATTATCATTATTTTAAGTTATGTAAGTACATAATTACTTGTTACTGGGCAAAGATTGAATATTGCTTGGAACAAATAGATAGGTATTAAAAAATATATTCTTCATGCGTTGTTATTTTAAACTGATAGGTCCAAACATAAATCGGAAAATAAATATTGAAATAAAAAATAAAACTCAATTATTTCATTGCCCAGAAACATTTCTCCTCCTTTTGCAGAGTTGCTTTAAGCATATAAACGAAAATTATCAGAGACTAACTTCTTTTTGTACATTATTTTTGTGGAACTTTATGCTTCTTTTGGTGGTATAATTGAAATTTGTCCTTCAAAGAAAGGCGGAGTTTGATTAGAGGTTGCACATCTCATAATTTTCGCTAAAACACTGAGGAGTTGTGTATAAAATTGATGAAATTTTGTTCAATAATAACCCTGATGATTCATCATTTTCCCGATAAACAACAAAAGGGTGTTTCATTTCATTTCCATAAAACTGTTCCATGAGAGAGAGAGAGAGAGAACGAATAATCCACAGCATGGAGACACTTGGTATAAAATTCACCGTTTACTTTGAACTTCACCGATCTATGTATGCATGAAAATCACAAACCTCAATATGCATTTGTACAGAAATTTCACCAATGTATGTATAAAAAATGCCTATTCACTTTGAACTTCAGCAATGTGATATTCAAAATCACAATCCCAAACACCGTCTGTCGCATGCAAGAATTCCTCCAGGCCCATGACTGCTCTTTCCCAGTCCCCGCGCTTGTTTTTCCATGTCCAACAGCAAGTTATCTTCCCCTTCCTGGGGCTACCATCACCACGACTCTGCCCTCCTCCACCACCACCACCACTGCCGCCATGATTTCTTCCGCCTTTATTTGCACGATTACCCCCGTTCCCATCTTTCTTTGCACCACCCAATTCACCATCATGACTAGTAGTCCCAGCCTCAGCCTCAGCCGCAACTGCAGCCTCCCCTCTTTTCACACATTGAATAAGGAAATGCCTCTCGTGTAAAGGCTGGACTGGTTTGTAGAACCTAATCACATCCATGGCTTCCAACCTGTGCTTATTGACAAAACCCTCCCACCCATCCAAAATTATGTAGGCATCATGAACTTCAACGAAAAAGATTGTCATTGTCCAATGCTCGTTTCGAGCATCAGTAAAGTTCAGTCTTATTCCAGGTGGGATCTCAATTGCAGGGAAATGATTTCTCTCTTCTTCCTTGGGAAGTTTGAGCCAGTTGTCACTGACATAGCCTGAGGTCAATTGCAGCTCAAACAGAAAATTTTCCGGCTTGAATTCAGGAGGGTTGTTGTCTGTCTCAGTTTCCCCTCTTTTGACATGTTCGATTATGAAATGCTTGTCGTGTAAACGCGAGAGAGTTTTGTAGAAGCAAATCACATCCATGAACTCCAAACCGTGGCTAACAACAAACCTGTGCCACCCTCTTACAATGATGAAGGCACGTAACAAGCTATTGTAGACGAGTGTCATTTTCCAATTCTGGTTTTGAGTGTCGGAAACTTCAATCTGGTGCTCGTAATTATAATAAGGTATATGAGTCAGTAGAGGAGGGAAATGCTTTGCTCTGCTCTTTGCTCAGGAATGAAGAGCATGCCTTGCTCAGCCGCAACTACAGCCTCCCCTCTTTTCACACATTGAATAAGGAAATGCCTCTCGTGTAAAGGCTGGACTGGTTTGTAGAACCTAATCACATCCATGGCTTCCAACCTGTGCTTATTGACAAAACCCTCCCACCCATCCAAAATTATGTAGGCATCATGAACTTCAACGAAAAAGATTGTCATTGTCTAATGCTTGTTTCGAGCATCAGTAAAGTTCAGTCTTATTCCAGGTGGGATCTCAATTGCAGGGAAATGATTTCTCACTTCTTCCTTGGGAAGTTTGAGCCAGTTGTCACTGACATAGCCTGAGGTCAATTGCAGCTCAAACAGAAAATTTTCCAGCTTGAATTCAGGAGGGTTGTTGTCTGTCTCAGCTTCCCCTCTTTTGACATGTTCGATTATGAAATGCTTGTCTTGTAAACGCAAGAGAGTTTTGTAGAAGCAAATCACATCCATGAACTCCAAACCATGGCTAACAACAAACCTGTGCCACCCTCTTACAATGATGAAGGCACGTAACAAGCTATTGTAGACGATAGTCATTTTCCAATTCTGGTTTTGAGTGTCGGAAACTTCAATCTGGTGCTCGTAATTATAATAAGGTATATGAGTCAGTAGAGGAGGGAAATGCTTTGCTGCTCTTTGCTCAGGAATGAAGAGCATGCCTTGTTCAACATCGTTAAGCATTAACTGCAACTCAAAGAGAAAAATTCTCCTATGGGATTCACTTTCTGGGTCTTGTACCTCCTCGTTGGTCCTCTCAGACGAGCATGAGGCTCTGCAAAGGTGAAGAAAATGAAGTCAACTGAACATTGCAATTGGCACAAAATACATCAACTCATATCCTGTATGAGATATGTTCTTACAATCAATTGAGTATTGAAATTGTTATGCAGAAATTGTACTGTTTCAATCACAAAACATCCGTAAAAAGGCCTAATAGATTGAAGACTCCAAGTTATGTACCCAACCAATTATTTACTCATCATCCTGATACTTGCAAAAATGACACAGAACAGAAATGCACAAAGATGAAAATCCTATGTACTCTTTTTTGCTTGTTGAGAAAAGGGAAGAATTGGAATGAAAAAACAGTTTTGAGTCCAGAAATTCAAGAGAGAAAAAAGTAAAAAAAAAAAACCAGTTTCTTGGTACAGAACTAGTTACCCAAAATTTGATTCCAAGATAGCATCATCGCGAGCCTCATCACAGCCTTGCTTCATGCACGAATTCTGAGAAGGTAAAACAGCATTTTCTTCTGCTTTAACATAATCAATCAGGAAATGCCTGGAGTGTAATCTTTTGAATGGTTTGTAGAAGCGAATCACATCCATAGCTTTTAAACCGTAGCAATCAACAAACCCTTGCCACCCGCTTGTGATCGCAAACTTGAAGGCACTACTTTCCCGAGCATTGTAGGTGAGTGTCATGTACCAATTGTCGTGTCTAATGTCGCAAATTACAATCTGGTTCTCATAATTTGATACACCATTCGTCGAAGGGAAATGCAATTCTGCTGTTTGGAAAGGAATGGAGAGCCTGCCGCGTTCGATATCGCTCTGAGTTAACCCCATATGAAACAGACAATGTACCGACCTATGGAATTCAACAACTGTGGCTATGTTAGGTATTGGGTACTCATTTCTTCGGTTGGTTAAAGCTCTCTCAGATAAGCATGGCACTACTCCTCTGCAAAGGGGAAGAACGTGAAAATACTAGTTACTCTGTTTGGTTGTTGAGAAAAAGATGTATAATCTTTCATCAAATTATACGATTCCAAGTTCTGTTCTTTTAGATCTTGCTCGTTCAAGAAATTAATTTATTAATCAAAATCTCTCTCATTCAAATGGGTTTAAAGGAAATAAAAAAAAATAAAAATCAGAAAGATGAAAACCTCATGTCTCTGTTTGCTGGCAGAGAAAAGGGAAGAATTGGAACAGAGAAAAAAAGATTCAAGAAATTCAAGAAAGAAAACCCTAAGATTGATCAGTTTTGTGGGGAAGAACAAGTAATTACCCAAATTTTGATTTTGAGAGAAGATCATCAACGTTGTGAATAGTCTGTTTGTTGAAGGGTGGATGAACATTTCCTTTGATAGAGCCCTCTGATTCAGTAGCAGACACCTCCAATGGAGTTGAAGATGAGGCATTTCCTTCTTTGGAGACTTGTTTTGCTTTCTCTTCTTCTTCTTCTTCTCGTTGAACATCTGACTCCATCACCATTGTCCTTCTTTGTGGTAGATACCTGAACTTGTGTCTTCGATTCTTTATTGAGTGTTTTTGAGAGAGATATAGAGAGAGAGAAACTGGAACTATATATAGTAGTTGCCAGTAATGGTTTTAAATTTGAGATATCTTTGAACAGAAATCGGTGGCTGAGTGGAACACATTATGTTCAATGTGTACTTGGTGTTTTTGCTGTATTTTATTTTAGTGTGATTAGTAGAACTCTTGAATTTAGCCGTTTGTTTATTCGAGCGAAAATATTTTTTATGAAAATTTTAAAATTATACTTATTTTTTGAAACAAAATATATTCCATTGTTCTAAAATAATAGTTTTTTTTTTGGAAATCTAACTTTTTTTTAGTACAATTATTCCACTTTAAAAATATTAATTTTTCAAAATTACCTTTTAATAATACATTTTTTTGATAATATCAATTGTCATAATTGTACTTTTTGTGCTGTTAATAATTTAAAAGAATGACAAAATAAGAAATTTATATTATTTTAGTCCTTAATTTTTGACAAGGGCTAATATTTTAGAAATGATACATGTCTCTAATTTGTGAGAGCCCGAAAAGAACACTAATGATGTGGGAAATCAAAAAAAAAAAAGAAAAAAAAAAAACAAGGCCAAAACATCACATCACATGGGACCTACACACCAATCAGAGCAATTAGAGCTCTTAATTTAGAGCTTCCAATCTTTTTTCCTAATATTTTGGGATAATGAAAAATAAAATAAGTGACTAATATTTTGGAATAGAGTGAGTAATAAATTATGTACTTCCAATTATCATAGCAATCTAATTTTTTTTTTTGTAAATAATTTACACAGGATCCTATCAAATAAATGATTTGAATCTTTAAAATTGAATTTAGCGACAGTTAAGGAAGGTGGAAGAGCAGTTGGTCAGTAGTAGAGGGTGGGCATGGTGGTGGCTAGCAGGCTAGGGTTTGCAAAGGAAAGAAAGAAAAAGGAAGGGTAAATGCCATTTTGTAATTTCACAGAATATTCTCATCCATTTGTAATCATTTCATCTCTAAGTAGTGTAACTACTTCTAAACCAGCAGTTTTGTAATTATTTTTCCACTTTTTACATTTTGTAATTTTTTATAAGAAAAAATAATGATGTAAATAAAATCTGATAAAAGTATGTATTGCTTTCATGATTTCATATCTTTCCTTCAGAATTTTTCAATACAATGTTAATTGAAGTGGGAAGGAAAAGGATTTCCCTCTCACTTTCTTTTTTTTTGTTTTTCCAAGCTGTTCTAAGTTCCAAACAGTATGTATATAATTTTCACCAGCTTTGCTTGGTTACAGGAGAAAAAGAGACGGAAGAAAAGACCATGAGTACCATTGATGTCTATGTTCAGCAGCTCAGAATCCATTTTAGAAATGGTTAGATTAAAAACAAAACAAAACAAAACAAAACAACAAAATAAACAAAGAATCCATTTTAGACAAAACAAATAATCCACACCAAGTAGACACTTGATAGAAAAAAATCACTTATTACTTTGAACTTCACCAATGTATGTATGAAAATCACAATTCTCAATATGGATGAATGTAGAGAACAACTTCACCAATGTATGCATGTAAAATCACTATTTACTCTGAACTTCACCCATGTGATTATGAAAAAATCACTTTTTAGAGTCTAATGATTGGGAAATTAAAACCATCGCCTCCCAATCACCGACTGTTGCTTGCAGGAATTCCTCCAGGGCCTTGATTGCTCTTTTTCGGCCACCAGGCTTGTTATTCCCTGTCCAACAGCTTCTTGTCCTCCCCTTCACGGGGCTACCACAATGAGGACTCGGCCCTGCATGCTTACCGCTACTTGCACGATCACCCCAACCCAATTGATCATTCTGACCACTACTAGTCCCAGAAGCAGCCTCCTCTCTTTTCACACATTCAATAAGGAAGTGCCCCTCGTGTAAAGGCTGGACTGGTTTGTAGAACCTAATCACATCCATAGCTTCCAACCCGTGCTTATTCACAAACCCGTCCCAACCATCTGTAAGCATGTAGGCATCTTTGTTTTGAGCGAAAGAGATTATCATGGGCCAATCCATGTTTTGAGCATCAGTGAAGTGCAGGCTTCTTCCATCAGGGATCTCAATTTCAGGGAAATGTTTTCTTACTTCTTCCTTGGGAACGTTGAGGATGGACTTAGAGGTAGAGGTCATTTGCTGCTGAAACAGAAAACTTTCAGGATTGAATTCAGGAGGTTTGACATGTTGAATCAGGAAATTCAATGCGCCAAAATGCGAGAGAGGTCTGCAGAAGCAAATCACATCCCTGGCTTTCAAATTGTGCCTAACAGCAAAATCGTGCCACCCTCCTGCAATGAGGAAGGCACCTAACGAGTGAATGTAAAAGAGTGTCATGTTCCAATTCTGGTTTTGAGTGTCGGAAATTACAATCTTGCCATCAATGATATCACCCTGGACCGTGTCAATTGGTACACAAGGGAAATGCTCGGCTGCCGTTTTCTTGGGAATGCAGAGACTGTCTTTTTCAACGTCGTTTTGAGTCAACTGTAACTCAAAGAAGATGGCTTCCCTATGGAATTGATCATCTGTGTTTTGTAGCTCTTGGTTGGCCCTCTCCGATGAGCTTGAGCCTCCTCTGCAAAGGGAAAGAAAATGAAAATCCTAGTTACACTATTTGGTTGTTGTTGAGAAAAAGAAAAAAGAATTAAAAAAACTATCATATTGAATATTGAAATTGTTATGCGGATATCATATGGTTCCAATAACAAAACAGCTGTGAAATGCCCATTACAGTAAATTTGAGAGTACAGAAAATGAATACGAGACACCACACAACAGAAACATTAACCAGACCTAGTGATCTTTCCATTGTTATGAATCCTAATTACTTTTTTTTTTTTTATTTTTTTTTTTTTTCTTTTTTTTTTTTTTTTTTGGATTGGCGAGAGTCTGTTACTCTGTTTGCTTGTTGAGAAAATGAAAAGGAGTAAACAAGACCTGCTTTCTTTCACAAAAGTGACAGCCTCAGGGTCTTAGTTTGGTTGTCAAGAAAAAAGGAAGAATTCATAAGGGCCTCTGTTTAGTTACTCTATTTGGTTGTTGAGAAAAAGGAAGAGTAAAGAACTAAAGATTTATGACCTTCTTTTATCTAATTATACGATTGGAATTTTTCTTCTTCTTTCTCTCGCTCCTTCAACAAATTAATTTTTCATCAAAGTCTTTATCATTCGAGTGGGAGTAAAAGATAGTAAAAACACAGAACAAAAAGATGTCAACCCGAGCGTCTGTTTGATCGCCAAGAAAAGCCAATAATTGGAACAGAGAAAAACAAAAACCCACAATATTCATTGAATTTTATATGTTCTTGTTGAATGCAAGCGAGTAAATTTATCAGTATATGTTGCATATGATATGTGCGTACGTAAACATGCATTTGTAACCAAGATACATAAAACAGGTTCAAGAAATTCAAGAAAGAAAAGCCTAAAAATTGATCAGTTACTTGGGGAAGAACAAGTAGTTACCCAGATTTTGATTGTGAGATAGTATCATCATCATCGTGAGTAGTGAGCTTGTGGAAAGGTAGATCAACATTTCCTTCCCCGGAAGGCTTCTCAGTCATCTTGTCAGCAGAGCCCTCTGTTTGAGTAGGAGTCTCCTCTAATGGAGTTGAAGATGATGCATTTCCTTCTGTGGAGACTTCTTCTTCTTGCTGAACATCCGATTCCTTCATCATTTTTCCTTGTTCATCATCATTGTCTCTGCTTTCAGACATTTTTATTGATTGTTTCTTGATGTTAGAATATAATATGTAAAGTGTTTAATAATTATGTTTTCTTCTTTCGGCTCTTTTGGCCCCTTTGTAACACTCTCCCCTCTATAAAAGGAGAGATCCCTTCACATTATATATATAGCATCAATAATACATCTCATTTATTCATTTGCTCTCTCTTCTCTCTTTCTCAATTTATCTTACATGGTATCAGAGCTATAGGTTAAGCTCTTGGTGCTCTTCGCCTTCTGGCGGGCGGCAACTTTGCCTTGACCGCCCGCCGGACCTCAACCAATTTGAGACCTCCATCAACTCGCAAGATCTCTCTCTTACTTTCGCGTACCATCTCCGAGGAGGAACGGTAGTCAAACAAGAGGGTTTTGGAGAAGATGATGACCACAAAAGCAATACTCTGCTTTTTCGTGCGCTTCTCTTCTACCTCCCATGCCCAGCAGACCAACCACCCGTACCTCTACTACTCCTCAGTTGACAAGCTTAACACCACCACCAGTCCCATGGAATGTATTCTCCATAAGTTCAACTCCTGGAGCAAAAAGGCCGAGATCACCTCCCACAATATCTGGAACCATCTGAAAACAGGGCCATCTGTATCGGGAGCAGCGTGGGATAAAGTGAACCTGACCGACATTCATGTAGCTTTTTGCAGCGATCTGTCCCCTATCCGTCACTGCACCCTCCGGCCAAGAGTCTTGGAGCTATTACAAGGTTATGGTACCTTTGGGCAATATCTGCGCCATCAACCCAGTGATCATGAGGGATAATCCATCAGAAAAGTATCTCCAGATGGTCACAATTGACGGCCATGATTTCTGGTTCATGGGATTTGTCAATTATGAGAAAGCAACTCGTCACCTCTCTCTCTCGGACTTCTCCTTTCTTTTATTTTTTATTCATCCCCATATCCTCCACCACGTCTCTTTCTATTTTTTTTTTAAACAATATTTTTGACCAAACACACCAACACACCATGTGCTGGTTTTACCCAAATTAATGGGCCACCCTACACCCAAATCAATGACTTTTTCATATTTTATTAATCTAATGGCTGGCACCATCATGGGTTAGTTTGAACAAAATTGTGGGTTCCATTATCACTTTATTTTATTTTATTTTATCTTCTTTTTTTTTGATTAAAAAAAAAAAACATCATCCCTTTTCTCTCTTGAGATTTCTTTCTTTTCACACTCCGTTGGTGAGCTTTTCCAGATTCCTATTCCCACTACCTTTTTTTATTTTATTTTATTTTTTCTA